ACTCTGAATTAAAAACACTGATCATTTATTGAACAGGATGGAATCATTTCAGATTTAAAGAACTTTCAGAAGTTTGAATTCTGAATATGAGCGACTTTTCCTTTACTGGAAACATAAAGCTTTTTAAATTTTAGTGATTTTTCTCGATCACACCTTTCCTAACATTCTGCAGTATGAAATAAGTAATGAAAGGCTTGATTCATGCTAATATTGCATCATAAATGCTCTTTAACGCGATATCAGCGTGTCTTGCTAACAGACACTGAGTGTTTCTAACTGCAGGTGATGAAGACTCAAAAAAAGACCTGAAAATGAGGAAGAGCAAGAAGAAGGAAGATGACCAAGCATCCGATGGTATGACCTCAATTAAATACGCTGCTGCTTCACCTCATGGACGAGCGATAACTCATTTTTATACTAGTTTGAAACTTTTATTTCCTGTAATTTAGGAAAGTTTTGTTTGAGGAACAGTATTTTGTACAAGTGGCGCTAGACTTGGACAGACTCTATTTTCTACAGAGTATACAAAAATAAATTTCATTCAGTACATTTCTCAAGACATTTTCTTTTTAAAATGCAGCAGTGATATTAATGTTCAAACACATCGATGGAAGGGGGGGGGTATAATTGAACCTGTTATCTAACTGCCAACATATGTTCTCTGAATCAAACTAGAGATTGAGGAGCAACATGATAAATATATAGAATAAAATGATTTATTGTCTTTACATTTTTATGCCTCTGAAGTCATGAAAAGTGAATATTACTGCAGACTAGTGAAAAATGGAAACAATAGTGGGACTTCTGACATCATCACAGCACAAACACCACTGAGGTCAGAAGCCCAGGGCTTCTGATGGCGGCCATCTTCAGCTCAAACAGGAACAACCAGGAGCGTTGGAGCCGCTTTGGTTCCTGTGGCAGCCTTGGTCCTGCATGATCTCTGGGTTTATTAAAAAAACCTTGCAGGAGGAGATGTTCAGGGCAAGAGGGGGCGCTAAAACCACATGATTTTTGTTTTGCGGGTATTTAGAGTGAGTTTAACTCGATGTGGATCTGTAAATCCTGTATTCTTTAGAAACCGAGGCCCTTTTTTGATCTATCTTTTGCCGCTAGAAGAAAGGAGACGTGAGGAGTCCCAAAAAGAAGGATCTGTTTCTGTGGGTTAAACCTCTTGTTGCCTCACAGCAGCCCGTCTGACGCTCTGCTCATCTCCTTCCTCTTTCTGTCAGATGGAAGCAGTGACGGTGGGCGGGTCATTAAGACTGTTCTGGAGCGATGGAGGGAGTCGCTGCAGTCCTGCTCCAGCTTCTCCCAGGTTCAGCTTCTTACCTCCTTTAACGCTGAGAGCATCTCAGCATCCAGACTGATGGAGTTCTTCTTCCCAGGTGTTCGTCCACCTGTCTAGTCTCGAAAGGAGCATTCGCTGGTCCCGTTCGGTCCTCAACGCCCGCTGCCGCCTCTGCAGACGCAAAGGAGACGCAGACAGCATGCTGCTGTGCGACGGCTGCGACCGAGGACACCACACCCACTGTCTGAGGCCCCGTCTCAAGGTAAGGCACCTTGGCAGGGCCGCGGCGCCATCCTCTGACGGCACCAGGTATTCATGAAACTCCACCTACTCAGTGTGTTCCAGAGGGATCCTGGTTCTGTCCCGACTGTCGACCCAAACAGAGATCCAGCCGCGTTCCCTCCCGACAGCGCTCCTCTGTAGACGACAATGAGGAGGACGACGAAGAGGAGGAGGATGAAGAGGAGGAGTCAGAAGAGGAATCTGAGGAGGAAGATGAGGAGGAGCAAGAAGAGGAGGAGGAGGAAGAGGAGGAAGCTGTGAGGTACGTGCAGAACGGTTCTGTTTACGTTTAGGCGGATCAACCAGAAGTAAAACCTGTTTCATTTCTGCAGCACCAAGAAGAGCCAGGCTGCCCCCCCCAGAGGCAAAACCCTTCAGGCCACGCCCAGAGGTCAACAAGCTCCGCCCAGAAACGGAGCTGCTTCATCGGGGAAAACCTCTGCTGCCTCCAGGTGTGTTTTCTTTTTTTTGTTGTTTTTTTTAAAAGCTGATTCTAGTTTCCTGCTCTTCATCCATTCGTCTATCGTCTCTGAACTCAGAAGCTCAGGGAAGAAGGCGTCTGCTCCTAACGACAGAGCGGCGTCCCGCTCAGGACAGCGTGGCGCCGCCCGCCTCAGTAATGAGACCCTCCCTCCAAAGAGCAGCGTCAGAACCTCACCGGGTCAGAGAGACGTCAGCAAGAGGCCCTCAGCAGGTAAGCTGATGAATCAGAGGCCAGCAGGGGGCGTGGCCTAACAAGGCACCTCAGCCGTTCCCAGCTGTTTGGGAATCCTTCCACACCTGAACACTCTGCCCCCAAAGGAGAGCACGTGTTCACCTGCAGGCCGGGTCTATAGCTCTGACCGGGGTCCTCAGACACGCCGGTTCACCCGTTAGGCGCAGAGTGAGAAGCAGTTCCTGCAGCATCATGAGGCGCTGCACTGAACCCTGGAAGTCTTTAGCTGAGTTATACGTGGATGGTGGCGCCGGGCTGTGTGCGCCATGAGGGAACCCATAGAGGCACCGTACCCTGTTCTACTTGATGCAGATTTAGCTGTAGTGAAAACCACAGAGGGACAGTGATCAACATAAACATAACGAGAAAACAGAGGAAGCCGTTAATGTCCCACCTCCAAAATGGCCGAGCGCAGTGTTGTTTATTTAAGAATTGATGATTATTGAAGAATAACAGGTGTGTTACACAGAAATATACGGTGGAATAAAACATTTACCTTCTGCACAGAGGGAGATGATGATGATGATGATGATGATGATGAGGCAAAACGCTCCTACATCAGAGTATTAGGGCCAAGCTAAAGGGGTGTTTTACATCAGAATAAAGTAATAACATTAGAAAAATGTTATAACATTATAAAGTTGCAACAATATCAGAATAAAGTCATAATATTATAAGAATAAAATCATATTACTAGAATATTATGAGAATAATTTCATCATACAAACTCTGTTGTATTTAATATGCTGTCGTTTGCACAATCGTTTCAAAGTTCTCATCATAATAATATAGATAATAATAATTCTGATCATTTTATTAACTTAATATTTCCTCATTTGCCAAAGTAAAGCTCGACATTCCTTATTTTAGGGAAGGCGGTGCTTTATCCATCCATCACCTTTATCCCTGCTGGGGTGGTGAGGGTTGCTGGTTCTATCGCCAGCTGGCTAATGCATTGTCCCGCTGCGCTGAAGCGCGCTAAAGACAACCACCTAAAGCGTTCTAACTTTTAAAAGGTTTGTGTTTCTCCAGCTTTCCTCGTTTCACTTTCACTTCTTCTCCTCCAGCTGTTCTCAAAGCGATTGTTTCCGGGTGAGAAGTCTGGATTTCTTT